ATACTTATAAACATTAAACCAAAAACCAAAAATATAAATTTAATGAAAATATTAATGACAAAAAAATAAAAGATATAAAGGATTAGCCCAATTTTTTATATAATTTTTTTCTGTCAATAATGGGATATAAAGTTAGAATTATTTATGATTGTGTCTGGATTAATGAGATAAACAAATGAATTTTGAATATTTGGAAAAAAAGAAAATATTTAATAATGATTTCAATTTTCTTAGTTTTTGTTATTTTCTAAAAATATCAAGCAGTAATCATTTTGAATTGATTTTCAAAAAAAATTAAATTTCCTTAGATACCAAATTCATCTAACATGGATCAAATGCATATTATTAATTAGTTTTCAAGAAGTTTGATTTAAATAACTTATCTTTTGAAGGTATTAACATAAAAAATATATCATTGGTAGGAGCAAATTTTGCAAAATTTAATTTAAGTGAATCTGAATTAGTAAATGTAAATATAAAATGAACCAATTTAAATGTATATTTATTATTATTCGGGTAAAAGTGAAAAAATTTAAGAGTCCTTGAGTTATAAAAATTTTATGGTCATATTAGTTAGGTTCGATCAGTCTCCAGATGATTCTACTTTAGCTCCTAGTAGTGATGATAACTCTATTTTTGTTTATGAGATTATAAGACCGGACAATAAAAATCAAAATTGAATGGCCATTCTAATTGTGTTCTATCAGTTTGCCTTTCTCTGATGTTTACAGATTAGCATCTGGTAGTGATGAAAAATGTATCTGTTTAAGGGATATAGAGAGAAGACAATAAAAATTGAGATTGGACGGCCATGCAAGTTCTGTAGGGTCAGTTTGCTTCTCTCCTGGTAATACATTAGCATCAGTTAGTTGGGATAACTCTATTATGGAATTTTAATTAAGGAAAATAAATTTAACTATTATTTTTATTTTATTTAATTAATACTAACATCATATATATATATATATATCAATTAGTAGAGATGGAGTATTCTTGGCTACTTGTGATAATATGATAAAATATAAATTATATAATCATATCTCATTATTAATCTAATTCATTTAGTGAAGGATAATTATGAATATTATGTTTCATAAATAATTTATTTAAAAAAATTATAATATATATGAATAGATCTAAAACTTTAAGAATTTATCATACTTTATGTACCACCTATATAGCTGTTTGATTTAAATGTAATAAAGGATACAGATCTAAGGAATTTATGAATGGAACAGACTTAAAAATCCATATTAATACTTACAATATTGGAATTATCATTTAATTTAGTCCAAGTAATTTTAGATCTCCCCATATCCAACTCAATGATTATTGTGTCATTTTCTTTTGAAAAGAAAAATTTCTAACGATTGTAGATGAATTATGAGAGAATACAAGTCCATGTGAATTTATGAGGTAAGTTCTATATTTGTTAATCAAATAATTATACCCATAGTCCTTATATAGAAAAATTTTAGTTTGTTTCTTTTTTATAATAAAATATCTTTTTTCCCCACACTCAATCCTACGTAATTTACTGGATTTAAAAGCTTTATAGCAAATCTTGTTATTCCAGTTTTTGCAATCATATGATTACTACTAATTATATTTTAACTTGTTAAACAACTTACTTATTTACCATTAAGTGTAATTTCTACATTTGAATTATATTCTTCTATTTTAAATTAAATATATAAAAATTTGAGAGGATCTTATGTAGGCGTATCATACACAAATTTGATTACCCATCTCTATGAGTCTAATTTATTTAATTTCTTTTTTAATCTTGCTTATTAGTATTCTCATTTTAAGTAATTTAATCATTATTATTTTATTGAATTAGATAATTAATCGACTCTATTGATTCTATCGGCTCTATTGACTGTATTGGTTCTGTTAATTCTGTTAGCTCTATTGATTCTATTAATTATATTAACTCTAATAATTTTATTGATTCTATTGATTGAATGGATTCAATTCATTTAATTGATTAAATTGTGAGATACATGAGCTTAAAGAAAGATTGAGCATATCTGTTTGTTTTTCTAAATTTACCACCTCTTTCATCAATAAATTTAATTATGTAATCCTAAATTGATCTAAATCTTTGTTTAAGTTCTCTATTAATGATAAAGATTCAGCCAATTATTATTATGTACATTCAAAACTTCATAAAAAATTATTGAAACCAATCTTTCAAATTGTGAAAAAAGTACAATTTATTTTTATCATGTAGATGACAATTTATATAACATTCATGACAGAAAGATTTATGATCTATACATTATTATCAATGCACACTCCCATAATAGGTTTAGAATAATGATGTTTTTTAGGCATAATAATTAGTTACTTTTCATTTGTATATATTGAATATCAATATATGATTTAGGTTAATAAAAATTCCATAAATTATTAATATATTTAATAAAACTATACGAAAAGAAAAAGGGAAATATATTAATAAAATATTATGAATCTATCTATAGATATGAATTTCATATTAATAAATATTATCTATATCGGTGGAACTTATTACCTTTATTTTCATTTTGATCTTCTTTTTTCTTAAAGTAAAATAAACATATACATAATTGCTAGAACACTAGTAATAGTGAAGCATCCAATATCCAAACCAAATAAAAACCCAAGAATTCATTTTGTCCAATCAATTGCATTAGTTAAATGATTTTTTTTTTACGGAGAATTTACAATAATAATATCAATAGTATAATTTTTCCTCCATTAGTTAAAAGTGCTACATTTGACCAAAATTAGGATTTCTGTAATTCGTCTTAATATATAGAGACAGAATTGATAGAAATATAATAACCCCAAAGCTCCTAAGAAAAATCCAAAACAGATTTGTTTATATCCTCTATTTTATTGTAATCATTTTTATGTGTAGTTCAAATGAATTAGATATATATTAATTCACAAAAATAAAAAAAAAGTTGAATTGAAAAAAATACTAAAGTTAATATCTCTATGGTAGAGTTATAAGTAATACCAAAATAGGATTTTCCTATTATTAATTACAATTTATATGTAATTAAATTTTTTTTTTCTCAATTTAATATTTTGGATTCACTTTTAGAAAAATATTATTGTTAAAAACTTTAAATATATAGATGGAATAATAACCATATAATAACATATAGTATTAGTTCAACCTAAGAATAATCCCTTAAATCTCTTAGATATATTACAATAATAAAAAATATTATTCTACATAGCATCTTTATAGAAATATTAATGTCCAGCTTTTCAATATCGGCTATAAATTAGATTAATAACAGTATTGCATTAACATAATCCATAATAACATTTAATGGCATCTAAAAATATAAATTATTATTAGAGAAATCAGAAATCATTCATATTTCACTGTTGCAAAAAAATTATTCATCATTAGCATCAAGAATAACTAAATTCTAATACTTGAAAACTAATTATAACATAATTTCTAATGATGAACATCATTAAAAAGATTTATATTTACTTTTCTTACTCACAATATAAAAATAATCAATATTTAAATATTGTCTATATAAATTAGAAGAGAATTAGTTTATATTTTATATAAATCCAATCTAAATTATAATTTATATTTTTGGTTTTAATTAAAAGAGAAATTAATCAATATACTTATAACAATTAATAGTATTAATTGTTATACTATAGTATTGAAATATTTCCAACATTCAATTAAATTCATAAATATATATTTTTCATAATTTTAATGGTATTGAAAAATTCATTTTTCTCTATTTCATTATTTATTGTTATTTTTGAGTTTCCTGTTTACTCAAAAAATAGTTTCATATTTATTGCTATATTCTTGATAATTATATTTAAAATATCATTATTAACAGTTTAACATATATTTTTGTATTTCTTATATAAATGGAATGTTGATTAATA